GCAGCTTAAAGACTCGCTTAAAACCCAACAGACACCCCAACACTACACCGAACCATCAGACTGAAGAAGGTGCAGAGCTGGGTGGTGCCTCTAAATCCCACTAAAGCTAGCAGCGCCAGAATCCCCCAACAGAAGCATCATTTCTCAGTCAACACTCCTCACAATGGCACCATTCAGGGTCAAACCGCAGCCTGTCATCATAGGAGCCTGGCTCTTCTTTTGTATTGGCCAGCGTCTGTTGTGTCAGTCCCATCTGGACCCAGAGACCACCGATGATGGATAGCGAGAGGATGAGTTTCCTGCTTTAGTTTCTCTGACTCAGGTGGATTTGGGACTTTTCCTCCACAGTTATGTAAGTAAAGCTCTACTGAATGATGCTAAACGGACTCGAGGCCACGTGATTGCAGAGACATCTTTTGTTCTTACATTTCGGGGTAATTTAAATCAACTTGCAGACACTTTACACAAACATATCAGTAAAAAATCTAAGATAAATTTGAAATGCAAAAGCTACGAAAAGTCCCTTCAGAACAATTACTAACCAAACTGTCATGCTTCTAACTTGTTGACCTTCAGCTACAGTGGGGTACCGGTACTTTAGCCGAGTCCCAACGGACCTGAGGCCACATGGAACATCACACATGACAATTAGTCATTCTGTATGTACCCACGAGGAGACAGGTGTCTCATCTTCTTCTAAACAAACTACCCATTGAACTGCTTCAGACTCTCTGAACCAGGAGACCCGCAGCTGTCTGCGGCTCGAGGACAGCCACACAAAAACAGACTGTTTTTTACCTTGTTGGAGACCAGTTTGACATTCCCTGAAGCCAGGGCCACAGCAGTATCGGCCATAACCTCTGCTTTGATGGAGCCCAGTCCTCCTGTCGCGCTGGTCTTGATGAAGCTGTCCAAAACCACGTCCAGCAGGTCTGTTATCTGAAGACAGGAGGTGAAACCCTTACAGCTCATCTTCATCACGTGTCTGTCTCCACCGGGACGTGGACTTACCTGGCCCAGGCTGCCCCAGATCTTTGCTTGAATGGAGGGATACATCTGCTTTTCGTTGATCGTCATGGTGATAAGCTTGTCCAGGATGGCAGTGACGCGCTGGCGCTTGGCATCATCGTTGTGCTTACAGAAGCGGACCAGGTTCAGCAACCAGGGCGTCATGTACTCCAGGCACAGATGCTTCAGCTCAATGCCTGTGACACAAAGTCACACACAGGTTCTAAAACAGCCACGGTTCACACCTCAGTGAGAGTGAAAACACTGATGTATGTCAGCAGGTGGCGGCGTTGAGCTGTTCAGTGGTGAGAGTGCAAATCATGCGACCAAAATGACTTTTATCACAGCAGGAAACCCTTCAGGTCTGTTTGGGATGAGAACATCCTGAAACCTATGAATTGTATTTAAAATTTCTTAGAATTATCAGTTGCATAAAAAACATGGGTTGTAATGATTAGAGATGAACACATGCAGCACATGTATGGTGTGTGTGAAAGTGTGTAGACATACTAGACTTGCTGAAGCCAGATATACACTCCTCCAAAAACTCCAGAGTGAGATGGGGCTCGTTAGCTGCCAGAGTCTTGCTGATGGAGACGATAAAGAGTGTGTTGTTGGCTGGGATGCAGAGACCTGACGTCTCCAGCAGCTGGCCCTCTATCTTCAGGTTAAAGGTGCAGGTCAAAGCGCACAGTAGATTATAGGCTGCAGACCTGGATGTAGGAGAGAGAGCAGCAAAAGAGAATCAGCTTACTGAACCAGTTGGAACTGGACCTGGCTGGAAGGTCTGCTCTGTACTACTGACCTGAGGCTAGGGTCAGAACTGCCCAGGTTGAGCAGGGCGATGTTCAGAAGAGTTCCCGGGACGTCCTTGGGACGAATCTTTGTGTGCTGAGGGATGGAGTCAGGCTGAGACAACTCCCAGCGTGTGCGGATATGAATGATTGACTGGACAATGGCATCACACTCCTGGTGCATAAAAGTGAGAGGTGTGCCCTGATTGGCCATGGTGAGGGTGAACTGACTTTCATCCACCAGGCAGATCTCCTCCACCTCTGAAGCGTAGTAAACATCATTCAGGAAGACAGGCTGGCCGAGGACGCGAGTCCGCTCAGCTGACGTCACCTGAACTGCTGTGGAGCCCACCTGATCAGAAATGAGAAGGTTTTAGTCAAACCAGTCGAGCTACAAGGTCTAAGACCATCTCCTCAGTAAACTAACTAGTCACGTCCTTCCAGAGATTCACCTTACCTTGATTGAAACCTTGGTGTCTCTGTGAGCCAGCTTCAGGGCATTGTGGAACACCTTCAGGTCTTCTTCCAAAGCCAAAGTGGCTGCAGGGAGCTTCTGTTGGTCCGGTTCAATGTGCTCAGCCAGTTTAACAGGAGAGTCAATAAACTGAAGCCGCTTGCTGCCTTTCAGACCCGTGAGGAGCCTCTCGTGGTACTTGGTGTACTCCCTCACCCAGGTGTTACAGTTGTAGACGTAAACTGCTGCTACATTCTCATAAGCAAAGCCAGGAAACACCACAAACCACTTGGACAGGAAGTCCGTCTTGAAGCGATTGCTGGGTCCAACATGAGTCAAGTCTACAACTATCTCATAGGGCTTTGCGTAGTAGGGTTTGAGGGTGAGCAGAACATGGTAGATTAGCAGGTCTCCATTGATCTGGCCTGTTTTGAATCTAAAAAAAGAAGAAGAGATAATTGGATATCGTCAAAACAAAATTCAGATTTTCTGTTTTAAAAATGAGGCTTTGTTTTTAGGGTCAGTTCTTTCAAGAACCAAAAATAGCAACCGCCACGAATGGTTCGCCCCTACCTTCCCACAAACAGCTACAGCACAAAAAGACACCGTGCAGAGCTCGTCGGATCCTCTCTGTCCCCACTACTGCCCTCTGGAAGACGTCACCAGACAGTGGCCTCCAGAACAGTTTTAGTCCTGCTGCCACAAGCATGCTGAACCCTGAAAGCTGATGAGCTGGCCCCTTACACACTTGAAGACCTGGCTGTAAGCTTAAATGTTGGATCATGTTGTTCTAAGCTACTGGAAACAAATTCCTCCAGCTTGGCTGTGTGATCGTTAAATAAATGATCAATAAAACAAGCTTGACATCTAATTTCTGACAAAAGTGTATTCACATATTTTTCCTCTGTTTTTGTTGTCTGTGGTTTAATAACAGCTCTAAGGTTTCTTTAGCGTCAAACCAGATCTTCTAAAATAACCAGAGCTGAGTACCCGACCACGAGGTGGCTCAGGAGGCGACTTCAGAGGATTTCTCGATCCAGTTAAGTTCTGTAATCCATCAACAGGACCTCCAGAAGACGCTTTGTAAGCATCACAGTTTTACACCTCAATCCAAATGCTAATCGGTCACAGATGATAAGGACTTTGAGAGTTTAGTTCAACTTGTTCATGAGCAAGTTTCCAAACAGGAAAAATTGCTCCAACAGTGATATCATGAGCGACAGCAGCACATTCGATGGGGATGTTGTGTTGGCTAAGATTAGCTATGATTGACTTGAATTATCAGTTGTAGGTGTACATCCAACAGGACTTTCTGAAAGTTTCAATAAAATCTTTTTAACTTTGGGTGACGGGCGATACCATAAAAAAAAAAGAGTCATCATTACGTTTGAATTTGGTGTTTTTAAAACTGTGTTTATCATTTCAGAACCCAATGGAAGCCACCAGCACTCTCTGGATGTGTCTGCTGCTCAACCAGCTCCTGTTAGGTCCTGCTGAAGCAGACCCATTACTTTCCATCACCCAGACGTATTCAGCTAACACACAAGAGCACAGTGGCAGCCTGATGTATTCAGTGGAGCCCTATGTAGTCACCACAGACCACCAGAGCTTTGATAACGACTCTGACTCCACTCGAGGCGACTGTCTGATTGACACAGAAATGGGTTTGATTGCAATAGGTTCTGCAGGAGGACTGATTTTCTGTTTGCTGGTTGCCACCATTGTACTAGCATGCCAGGTGTTCCAACTCCAGCGCCGGGTGTACGTCCCTCGAACCTCACGGTCGAACTTGGACTTGGTCAGTAGCACACACTACTGGGGCCCTGACCAAACAGAGGTTGGAGGACTGGTTGGCCCGTGTGACACCAATGTTATGCTTGAAGAGGTTAAAGTAGAAAGCAAGATGAAAGAAGAGAGACGGGCTGAAAAAGAGGAGGCAACAGGAGAAGTTGGAAGAGGTCTTGAAGGGATAACAGGAATGTGTTTTGATCATGAAGATAAGGACTCTCAGATCCAGAGCTCCAGCTCCAGGGATTTAGAAGACATGCCCCTTGTTGTCTAAGGTGGTAGAGCCACGTGCAAGCCCAGGTCTAGACACGAGCACGTCTATGACCCACTAACCCAGGAAGACTCACTCTGACTGCTTTCTAAGTTTATGCTGTTATGAACGTGACAGATTAAGGAACTGTGTTAGGTTTATTATGCTAAAAATGTGTGCTTGCCTTCATAGATATAACAAACTTGTTTTATCATTAATGTAGATATAAACAAAATATACTTATTTCCACTAACACTGAATGTTTTTCTCACCCTTTTTTACTTTATTTAAATGTTTGTTTCAACCGAGGTTTTATGTCTAATTGGTTTATTTTATTTTTGTGTTAAAAGACACATTTTGTTGATTTATGTATTTGGTAATAATTATGGTTTCAGGCTGTGTTCATCAGCTGAAGTTTTCGTTGCTATGGGGACTGTGGGTGGAAATTCAGCAGTGCTCTGAAGAAAACACGTTTCCTGTTTTGAGTTGCGTGTTACATGTGGTATACTGTTCCCACTTGATAAATAAACAGAAGGCTAAACTAACATGGTTTCTATTTATTTTTACTAAAGTACAACATTTTCTAAAGAGCAATGATGGAAGTTGTGATGAAGCACAGTTTAGCGTAGAAAAAAGTGGTTGTTGCTTCCTTTCAGACATTTACTGATCTTTGTTAACTGGCCAAAAGGTAAATGAGTCACACAGACAAAGGCCAGCAAATTTCTCACTCACCCACATAATCACTGCAATGTCAAATCAAAGGTTTACAGAATACCACACCATACAAAATGTATTTCTAAAGCAAGTTAAAAACACAGCATGACAGCTGATTGAAGTACTACACAATAAAAGCAGGCGTATGATACAGGAAATAAATCCAATGTAACAATGATGAAACACATAGTAAAATTAAACAATCACTGGCCAAATGCCAAGTCATAAAAGTGGGTCTTTAGTAGTGACTTGAAGCAAATGAAGGACTGCGCCTGCATCAAATTGCAGAACTTTTTTTCTCCACAAAGTCCAGGACATCAGGGATAGTCTCTTACACATGTGGACCCGCTAACCATGCTGAGCCACTCGACCCCCTAAACTTGATCTCGCTTTGCTTCTGTCTCTCTCAACGACCCTGATAATCTCATCAGGTCAATGAAATTGGCCGGTTCTTCTTGGCATGTGATATCCTTCATATCTTGATCTCCGCCATTCTGAATATTTTCAATACTAGTCTTAACTACCGGAGTGTGTCCTGCAGCCTTCAATAAAGCTGGCGTCTAGCCGATTTTGAAGGAACATGGACTTGACCCCTCGGAAATTTCCTAAATTTTGCCCAATATCTAAATTGTCCATTCTTTTTCTCTACCCACATCGACACCAACTTATTACTTGATGTGTTCCAATCTGGTTTTAGACCCTACCACAGCACTGAAATAGCCCTAATTCAATTCACTTTATTTATATAGTGCAGAACCATGACAAGAGTCGTCTCAAGGCACTTCACAAAGTAAACATTTACTTTAGCCTGGTGCTGCACAACCAGTAGGCTTTGATCACTGGACCTCAGGGACCTGCTGGGGGTGTAGGGACTAAGATCACCAATGTAAGATGGTGCTTGTCCATGTAAGGCCCTATAGACCAGAACCAGAATCTTGAAATGAACCCTGAAGTTGACTGGCAGCCAGTGAAGCTGGAGGAGAAGCGGGGTGATGTGGGTGTGTTTGGAGGACTTGGTCAGAAGCCGAGCACAGGCGTTCTGAACCACCTGTAGACGGTTCAGGGAGGTTCTGCTCAGACACGTGAAAAGAGAGTTACAGTAGTCTAAGCGTGAGGAGATGAAGGTGTGGAGAACTGTCTCAAGTTCAGAGCGGGACAGAATGGGACTCAGCTTAGCAACGTTCCTGAGATGGAAGAAGGAAGAGCCAACAAGAGAACTGACATGAGAATCCAGGGTGAGAGCTGGGTCAAAGGTCACGCCAAGATTCCTGACAGAAGGTTTGGTGTGAGAAGCAAGCTGACCAAGAGAGTCTCTGACTTTGGGAACCAGCTTGTCTGGGGCACAGATGAGGATCTCAGTCTTATCTTCATTCAGCTGAAGAACGCTCCCACCATCCAGGTTATGATAGAGTCTAAGCAGGTGTGTAACAGCTGCAGCTTAGACATCTCATGGGGCTTAAAGGAGATGTACAGTTGGATGTCATCTGCATAAAGATGGTAGGAAATTCCTTTGAAGGAGCTCAGGATGTGCTGAAGAGGAAGCCGATGGAGGAGGAAGAGCAGAGGCCCCAGCACAGATCCTTGTGGGACACCATGGGTAAGAGAGGTGGTGGAGGACCTAAACTTGGAGACGGCCACAGAAAAGGAGCGCTCGGAAAGATAAGCTGCTGATACCAAAGAACAAATTGAATCGGAGAAGAAAACCCAAGTTCAAACATAGAAATTTCAAAGCTGGTAGCAATCAACACAACTGAAAGGTGGAGAAATACAAAGTCAACAGACCCCCTTATTCAAGAGCATGCAGTCAGACTTTACAAAGCTCAACGAGAGAATCCAACTCACCAGGCCAAACCCTCAATTCAGTCATGCAGAACAGGTTTAATGTTTTGTCAAAAAAGAAGTCCTTTCGAAGTGCCGTTTTATGTCCAATCGACTGGACATCGACAAGAACAATCCAAGAGATGACGAGGATAATGATGGGGTAGATGACGAGCTGGTGCTTCACCGAACTTAACTGGATAATTAAGGTTCGTCAAATGCATCTGTTTGCGTGATGCCGTTGACGGATACTGCTACTAGTAGGGGTTGCATGACTTAATTTTTTAAAAAGTCGACAGTCAAGTAATGAAAATCGAGTCGACTTTGACTAGTCGTTGATGACGTCATACACCTGAAGCGGCACGGGGGCGGGGGGGGGGGGGGGTAGGTTCGCTGGAGTTTTTGACAATTAAAATTGCGCCCACATTTTAAAAGTAAAACACATTTCTTTTAACAACGGTAGTTTCTGCTTCAGCCCTCTCCCCCTCCCCCTGCTTCAGCTCTCTCCCCCCTCCCCATGCTTCAGCCCTCTCCCCCCTCCCCCTGCTTCAGCCCTCTCCCCCCTCCCCCTGCGCAGCGGCAGCAAACTCACTGATGCGCCTGCAGCCTCTCGGAGTTCCTGCTGCTCTAAACATTGAAATAATTATTTCATTTTCTGTTCCTCACTTCTGATTACCTTCAATGGTGTCTGTTTGTTGCAACCAGCAGGTACAAAAACTAACTTGTTTTTATTTGACTATTTTTCTGTCCTGTCTGTTTATTATCTTCCTGCATCTCCTCTCAATCCTAAAGAGAAACTGCTACCTGGGTTCATATATATTCACCTCATGAGTTACCTTTGAACTGCAGTTCTAAAAGATCTACCGACCGCAAAAACAGCGGAGTGCCGCTGCTCGCCGGCCGACTACAACGGGCCCGTTTTTGCTGCGGAGTTCGTGCCGGAGTCGAGATAGTGGAATTTTGGGGGTGCGTCACCGGAGGACAAAATGCGCCTCGTTCCGCAGCAGCGAAACGCATCAGGCACAAATAACAGACAGAAAACATTAAAGGAAATGAGCCGACATGAACGATTGCGTGTTTTATTTGTTTTTAAGGTGGTGACACCTGATTTGGCGGTGCTCAGGACGCAGATGTCTGGAGCGCGTCAACGATCAGAGCTTTGCATGCGCAAACTGGCTAAGATTAGGATGGGGTGAGGGGAAGGTAAAATTGCAAGAGGGAAAAGGGCATAATTTGGTTAAATGTCCGTTTTACCGCCGGTGTCAGTACCGACGCTCTGGCACAGCGCGTCGCCTCCGCTTCCCGACGTGCAGGGGCTCGTCACCTGCTGTCTTTTCCGAGGACTGCATCTTGTTGCTCATTATCACGTGACAGCGACTAGTCGATAACAGGCATAAAAAGTCACTACAGAGCGGTGAAGTCGACTAGTTCATACAACCTCTAGCTACTAGCTGGGTCCAGTTTTTGCCAATGCAGGACCTGGATGGAATAAGTTTGGGGATCGCAGGGAGATGGGTCCAGAAGCTGACAAGGGGAGTTGTTCCAAGAGAGATGCACCCCTGAGGCTCGAAACCTAACACGGGCGAGGACCGATTCAAGTGATATGAAACGGTGCCTTGTTTCAGTACCCGCCCTTGAACAAGAACTTGCAAGACAGTGATTTGCCAAAATAGACAGCAGCACATGCGCAAGAGCATAATGTCATCAGTTGCTGTGGTCTAGCTGTAATCAGAGCAAGCATCATGGCAGAGAGAATGCACTCTAAAGTGGGTGATGACAACATCAACAACAATCTAAGTGAGGCATCATCATCTTGATCTACACCAGCAGGTAAATAAACAGTTTAAGATAACGTTAGCTTGATATTTTAGCTTCTGTTGGCATTAGCTAATGGTGCTGTTTGCTTTCCCCTCGGAATTTGGAAAATCTGACTTCAGAGTAGAAAATAACCAACTCTTTGAAATAGCGGCAAAGTAAATGATGATGCACAGTAAATGCGGTTCACAGCAAAGATGCTTCAGTTTAATTAGCAGTCTATAAATCCGCAAGGACCCACCTATCACACAACTTGTCCAAAGGGAAAAGGAGAGGATCTGGAGTACAAGGAGGTGGGTTTTAGTTTGTGATGCACCACAATATTAAAATACAAACATGTGTGTGTATCAAAGTTTGTTGTAGTTTCATTTGTAGTTTATAATACTAGCTACCACTAACAACCATCTTCTCGTCATAGTTATTCCAGAGGGCACTGAAAAGGGAATAGGAGTACATGAAGCTGGGTTTTACTTTTTGCATAATTTCGAAACAGTTGTGGTAAAAAGTTTCCATATTGAAGAATTTAGTACGACACTACGATGATAAAATACAAACAGTTATATGTTATTTAGAGCGACGGCAGCACAGGAGTTAGGTGCTCGCCCCGTAATCGGAAGGTTGCAGGTTCGAGCCCCACTCAGTCTGTCGCTGTCGTTGTGTCCTTGGGCAAGACACTTAACCCACCTTGTCTGCTGGTGGTGGTCGGAGGGACCGGTGGCGCCAGCGCTCGGCAGCCTCGCCTCTGTCAGTGCGCCCCAGGGCAGCTGTGGCTACATCGTAGCTCATCCCCACCAGTGTGTGAATGTGTGAATGACTGATTGTGTTGTAAAGCACCTTGGGGGGTTCCAGGACTCTAGAAGGCGCTATATCAAATACAGGCCATTTACCATTTATGTTGATATTGATCAAATAGGGTGAAATACTGAGAAATTAAATTAATTAATAAAAAAAGAGATTTAATTAAGTATAAACATAAAGTATTACAAATTGGTACCATTGAGTACAGCTATCAACCCTAGGTACTGGGAATTGGTATTGTATCAATTCAAATGTCAAAGGTATCCATCTCTAGGTACCATTTTCGATTATTGACTAAGTTCTGAGGCTAAATTGTGTGTGTCCATGTCATTGGCTGAGAAGCACCCCAACTAAACCCCTGGGAAAAATAAAAGATTTGGTGCTCTGTTATTGACAGGAGAATCCTTTTTTCCAGTTGCTGCAAACAGAAAGAAGATTAATCAGATAAAATGACTATCCAGCCTTCAGCAGTCCAATCCCTAGACCTTTAACAGAATATCAGTCTGTCTCTGATGGTTTTCTCAGAGAAAATGTGTTTGTTTGCTGCCCTTTGTGATAAAAGGCCATTTAAGGACAGTCCAGGTGCTGCTGGGTTTTCAGGGTCACCCTGAAGTCACTTTCAAAATCCTATCGGACACTTTTTGGGTTGTATTATCAAGCATATTCCCACTCAGGATCTGCCATCTAGTCAGGATCCAATGAAAGGAGGTAGAAAATGTTTACAGCTTGAAATTCTCTCAGCTCCATGTTATTTTCTTAGTCCTGTCATATTACCATCATGAAGAATGAATCCTCTCTGTAATGCTCAGAGATTTTAAAAGGCCTCTTGGAATGCTTACAAAGTTTTACACCCCCACCAGCAAGAAGATTTATTAGCAGCACGCAGGACTCAGGATTAATGCTCACGAGTAAACCACCACAACCATTAATGTCTGGACCCATAGGAATAGGAAAATCTTCACATTTGAAGTGTACACTCACCTAAAGGATTATTAGGAACAGCTGTTCAACTTCTCCTTAACGCAATTATTTAATCACCCAATCACAGGACAGTTGCTTCAGTGCATTTAGGGGTGTGGTCCTGGTCCAGACCATCTCCTGAACTCCAAACTGAAGGTCAGAATGGAAAAGAAAGGTGATTTAAGCTATTTTGAGTGTGGCATGGTTGTTGGTGCCAGATGGGCCAGTTTGAGTATTTCATAATCTGATCAGTTACTGGGATTTTCACCCACAACCATTTCTAGGGTTTACAAAGAATGGTGAGAAAAGGGAAAAACATCCAGTATGCAGCAGTTCTGTGGGCCAAAATGCCTTGTTGATGCTAGAGGTCAGAGGAGAACGGGCCGACAAAAAGCATCTGTGAAGCCACAACACGCACAACCTTGAGGCGGATGGGCTAAAGCAGCAGAAGACCCCACCGGAGACCACTCATCTCCACTACAAACAGGAAAAAGAGGCTACAGCTTGCACCAGCTCACCAAAACTGGACAGTTGAAGACTGGAAAAATGTTTCCTGGTCTGATGAGTCTCCATTTCTGTTGAGACATCCAGACGGTCGAGTCAGAATTTGGCGTAAACAGAATGAGGCCATGGATCCATCATGCCTTGTTACCACTGTGCAGGCTGCTGGTGGTGGTGGTGTCATGGTGTGGGGGATGTTTTCTAGGCACACTTCAGGCCCCGTAGTGCCAGTTGGGCATGGTTTAAATGCCACGGGCTACCTGAGCATTGTTTCTGACCATGTCCATCCCTTCATGACCACCATGTACCCATCCTCTGATGGCTACTTCCAGCAGGATAATGCGTGATGTCATAAAGCTCCAATCATTTCAGATTGGTTTCTTGAACATGACGATGAGTTCACTACTACAACGACCCCCACTGTCACCAGATCTCACCCCGATAGAGCATCTTTGGGATGTGGTGGAACGGGAGCTTCGTGCCCTGGATGTGCATCCCACACATCTCCATCAGCTGCAAGATGCTACCCTATCAGTACGGGCCGACATGGCTAAAGAACGCTTTCAGTACCTTGTTGGATCAATGAATCAAGGCAGTTCTGAAGGCAAAAGGGGGTCAAACACCGTATTAGTGTGGTGTTCCTAATAATCCTTTAGGGGAGTGTATGTTGTGACATTTTCCCCCACTCCTGTCTGAATCGTGGACTTCATAGAGGCACCGTTGGTAGCACGGTGGCCCCTCAGTGAAAACGTTGCACGTTTGAATCCAGGCTGTGGCCTTTCTGTGTAAAGTTTAGTGAAACATTGAAGTTGTACTACTGTTAATCAAATCAATTTTTAGTGTGAAAACTAAGTGCTATCTTTAGTACTTCAGTGTGAAGGCATATGACTGTCAGTTTCACAAGTAGCACATCCTGTCAAGAGCGTTAGTGAAGCAAGAATCTGTCTCAACCTTTCAGTGAGGCAGAGCCGTTCCTGCCTCAAGTTCCTGCTTTCTATTAGACATCTGCTACTGGCTACAGATTATCTTCACACCTAATGCAAGATTCATTCTGAAACAAAACAGCTAAACTAAATCCAGTTAGTCATCGGTAAGTACAGCTCAACTTTCTATAATGTTGCTAATAGACTGAACAAACACTGCCGTAAGATTACTGACTCATGTTTTCCTTTTAAATGAATTTTATTCACGTGAATCTTGATTGTATTTATTTATGCAATACCAAACAAATTTTGGTGCACCATTATGAATGATGCTGCATTTAAGTGGTGTTGGAAATTAAAAATATTTTCCCAATTAACCCCTACCCAACGTTTAAATTTTCTAACGTTAAAGTCATTTGAGCACAAAAAAAATGCTTTAATGTGAGGTAAGGGTTAAGGAAAATCATAACTTTTCACCCATGCCACCTCTGATGTCTCCTATAAATGATGTCATATGAAGGGCATTCCATTTTGGTTTTATTTGTTCTCAGAGGGACAATTTCTTCTAATTCTTCAACTATGTGAAACTTTCAATTTTACATAGTCAAATTTTGTCAGATATATGCAAATTAGGACTTTTGCTCAAAAACACACTCCTTCCTTCCCAACTTTACCACAAAAGAACATTTTAGATTAAATTCTTTCATTGATACCTGCAAAGAACAGAGCAATTTCCACTCTGTACAGATTAATTAATCATATCTGTCCAACATCTCTTTAACCCTCCCACTGTCTTCATGGGTGACCCCGCCAGGAAAGTTGACCATTGAGCAGTATTGATGGTTTATCCCTTGAGGTCCACGAGGCAGGGGTGAGGTCCTGCTCAGTGGTCAACTTTCCTGGCGGGGTCACCCATGAAGACAGTGGGAGGGTTAAGAAGGTGATGAGAAGCAGATATGGGTTTGGTAAACAATGACAAATCATGGAGGGCTACCCTTGGGTGTATACATGGATCCTCAATAGAGCATTCTACAGAAGATAAATATAGACCATGATGTAATGATGCAATGCATTGTGGGATGTAGCCCTAGACAAGCGAGTGTGTATTTTGCATGGGTGCCTATGGGTCTGAGTCGCTCCACTCATCACAAAGTTGTAGTTCCGTCTCCTAAATATGTTCAAATGAGAAGGACCTAGCTGTTGGGGGAGGTGCTAATCAGACTCCAGATAGCCAGACTGGATGTCAAAGAGGACATTTTTTAATCCATTTTCTAAAGCCGGGTAAGATCCACGACAACATGAAACAGGTGGAAAGGGAAACGGGTCAAGCTAAAGACAGTAAAAGAAAAGTGGTGACATATTTGGAAGAGCAGATTTTCAGTGTGATCAAGATCAAGGCCAGCATGTATATTTGTTCCATATATTTTGCCAGCGGGAAAGTCCCTACGTCCGAGAATAACGAGCTGATACTGGCAACACTCTCAGATGTGGAGTTATCCAGGAGCAAGCGGTATAATCGAAGGGACACAACTGCATTTCTCAGTCAAACAGCATCCAAACGTGGCCAAAAAATCAGACTTTTGACCAGAAGTGGGTGGTATGTAAAAGGTAGGGACACAAATAATAACCTAAGAGTAAAAAAATGTACTTAGAGAAAATGTTATTTCAAGACTTTGAGTTATGAGTAACATTTGTGAGGATAAAAGTTAGAATTTTGTGTCTGTCCGTTTGTTATTGACATAAAAGGGCTCTATTCCTGTTTTTGCAGTTTGTTCGTCTAGCACTAAGCAGTACTTGCCCAGTGACGTACAATACACAATTTGTTCACGGCATTGCCTGAAACAGCTGAAAAGAGTCCGGAGAACTCATCTTACCAATGCAAGATTAGCAGACATATCCAGATGCAGACCTGTCAGAGCATTCTGTAAGGATTTTCTTGCATTAGTCTAAAAACCTCCAATAACACGGCTCTGACTATTGGAAAATCCGGTTGTTGGTCTTACCGAACCACCACGCTTCTAAGGGTGCTTCACTCATTACTCATGTGCACATTAAGCAGGAGAACACCACTGGTGTGAGAGGTTCTCTGCTCAATAATATCAGAGAAGGAGAAACAGCCAGATGCTATCACTTCAATTTTAGGACAAACTACCAGCCCTAAAAAGAAAAACACCATTTGAAGTCATGGGTGACAAAAGTCGCAGAAAACAGCGACTGGTCTTTAGCACTATCTCGTTTCCTCTGACAATGTGGGTTTCCAGCTCCAGCGGACTTGGCCCAAGTACCTGATGATACCTGACAGGACGGTTGAGAGTTCTGTTACTGTGTTAGCGTTTAAAAGAAAGCTTGCTTTGTAAATGTATTAGTTTAATTCTTCAACTGCATCACTAGGGCCTTGGCATACATTTGAGTTTATCCAAAATTTTGCTTTCAAAGTAATTAAAATTCAGAATTTCCTTTATAACCCAAATTATTCCCTTAAAAAGTGCATCATTATAAAATGAATAAATAATAATCTAACAACTCAGTAGCCATTAAGAATATAATCATCATTATCAAACTTTCACATGTAATAAAGAGTGCTGTTGTTCTGCAGAACATTTAGTGCATTTGCAAGATCTTTAAAAGTTTTCATTCATTTTTTTAAGAATAACAAAATAAATTATTGTCTGTGAGCAAAATTAGGTGGTATTGTTATTTGAAATTTGACATGTACTTATTTATTGTTCAGTAGCTGAACTCATGTTAATGGTGTTTGGGTCTATGTTATCATATGAGAGGTATTGTGCCACATGCATGAAGTTATGAACTGGTGATGGACAGCTTAACAGGAAACTAGGGATGCACAATATATCGGCATACATATCGGTATCGGCCGACGTAAGCAGTTTTTGAACATATCGATACACAAGAAAAACTGGGCCGATATTAACAACCAATATTTTCTCCATCTTGTTTGCTTTAGTGTATCTGTTTCACAGGGTGAGGGGGGTGATGATGTGTAAATGTATAGCCCTGCGACGGTGAGGGTAATCATCTCAGAAACGTAAATGTGTGTGTGTGTGTGTGTGTGTGTGGTGTGTGTAACATAATGCAAATTAAACTTTACAGAAATAAAGCAAAACATTCAAAAATTCACCTCGCAGAATTATTTCCATCTATACAAAATTTCCTGATTTCAGAGGCGTGAATCGGTATAGGCAAATATCCGTTTTCGGCCATAACGGTAACATTAATATCAGACATCGGTATCGGCCCAAATAATTGATATCGGTGCATCCTTACAGGAAACCAAATGTTTGTGCTTCATTTGATGAGGAGGATCCTCGAATGAGAGGTAACATGCTCTCTGCTTCTGTTCCAGTTACAAACACACGATGACGACGATGACCAGCCTTGTTTTCACGTGGCTGCTGCTTCTGACAGCTTGCAGTGCGGTGACACCAGGTCTGCACAACAACCTCACTAATGTGACGTCAGGTGAAGAAGTCGAAAACATGTTTGTCATCAAACAGGTGGCAACAAACAGGACATCAGTGTCCAAGCAGCTTTCAGAGATCCCAGGCGTCACTGTTACACCACCTACCACTGAGGATGTGCATCCCATAGAAAACAAAACCAGGTCTACTCCTTCACTGCAAACAAACACTTCAACAACAATCTCAGTGAGTGGTGAAAAAACAGCAGCTTCAGTTAATTCTGAATGGATGGATTTCACCAGTTCAACGGAAAGAAGCACTTTTAAAGTTACCAAATCCATTTCAGCGGTTCAGACAAGGTTCAGTCAAGCTAGAGATCAAACCGCTCTTTCAACTGAACCGCCACAGAGCCACACCACAAAAACACAGTCAGCCTCTCAGTTCACAAGAAGTACCTCTCAGTCGACCTCCACAACCCCGTCTACAACCCTCATCTCTACCGCCACAACATCTATCAACACTGAAAAGAGCACGTCTATTAGGATACGCCCGGTCACAGGGGGTGATGCTGCAACATCCCCAGGTTCACACAAAACTACAGCTGCAGGGCTTTTAGTCCACAACAACAAGGCCAAGAAGAAACAGGGAAAGGCAACCAACCAAACAAACCACGGAAAAGTGGTGGCAGGAGTAATAGGTGCCGCCATTTTTCTGATGATGTTAGGATTCCTGCTCATCTACATAAAGAAACAAAGTGTCCAGAAACAGCAAACAACAACTACAGACTGGGCTGGTCCCTCCCCATTCCTAGAGGGTGGGCTTGATAATGACAAAGTTACTCTGAGGTCATCTAATCAAATCTCCTTATCCAGCTTTCTGCCTAAGAGACTGTCTAAAAGATTGTCTCTGCTTCCAGAAACAGATCAGGAGTTACAAGACATGACGCCAGGCACCACGTTTGGAGGCAAACATCAAGGGGGCACATCTGGTGAGAGTGTGGCTGAACAAAAAAAGAATGGGGTTGATGGAAGTGTCCTGGTCACGGACAGCAAAGGCGAAGTTGCAGAGGCAGCTGTAAACTCTGCCTCTATGAGAGACCACTAACAGCATCAAAGGCTTCCCTAACAACTGCCTGAATAATTCAGAGGCAGGCAGCTTTAGACAAGATCATTCTACTAATCCGCTTAATCCGTCTGGACAAACTAAAGGCAAAAGCCAAAGAAGGCCTTGTGCTGTTCTAGACAAACTGGAACATTTCCCAACGGATCCATCCGCTGCACATTCATTTTGCTTTTTAAGCAGCTTCTTCAGGGGCAGAGAATATAAAAACAGGATATTGACTAACTTGCCACTATGACAAAAATATGAGACAGTGATGCTTACCCAACGATTGATTCTTCAAGAAGTAGCACCTGTACTAGAGGTTCCCAGACCCTTAATGTTTGTGCTGATGTCTACAGATAAAACAAACACACTTTAAAGAGGTCCTTCACTCATATTTTTGATACGTGTGCAGTGGTCTCCAGCAGGAACGAACTCCTTGTAAGTTGAACTCGGGGTGTGTGTGTGTGTGTGTGGGGGGGGGGGGGGGGGGGGGGGGCTGGAGAAAGTAGCTTCAGAAAGCAGGATGTGGAGTCTTATTTCCTGATATTTGGACATCTCGCCTCTGATTGGCTAACAACAACATGACAATGTAACAGAATGAAATGACTGTTTTTTCCTCCTCTGCACAAGACTAGTCTGCATGAGATATGGTCTCAAGGTCTCATGCATTCCTTCTAACCTGCTTATCTTCAGCTCAACAGAAGAATGGAGAATGAACTCTTTTCTTTTAATTCATCAAAGAACTCTATTTTAATAAAGCTAATCCATCAAAGTGTTAGTCAATGAATAAGATGTGGCCGATCTGTGAAATCAACATAATAATTACTTTATTATAATCCTATAGAATATGATGAGTAATATGACTTTAAATGTTCCAACAGGACTGATCTCACGTAGCGTTAAAAGACATGACACATTCCTTTCACTGAGCCAATCAGAATCTGACAGATCTGACGGAGGCGTGGTTTTGATGGTGTTTGGTATTTTTCATTCGACAATAAACCAAAACATCCGAAGTATAAAACTATGCCACGTCATCTCTAACGCCGGGTCAAAGCTTTCCAGAGAAAGTGTCGGAGTGGCCAATCCGCAACTCTCCTCTTTAACCGAAAGAACAACAACAAGCTGGATAAAAATTCGTTTTTGTTCCAACTGCTGCAAGGTTCCTTTCTAAATAAAAGCTGAACCATCAAGACCCAGGCTCGGGTCTCACTAGACGCCAACAAATTGTCGTGACCCGGGAGTATCTCACAGACTGGACTGGTCGGCAACCGCTGCTTTTCCTACCGGCTCGGTTCCAGAGAGGGTCAAGCTGGACCTCAACATTCCTGATCTAAAGAGGACTTCCTGAAGGGTAGGAAGACCGACATAATGGTGTCTCATGTGTTTATGAATCTCCTAACCAAAGCTTAACGGGAAGACATCACCTTCAGTTCCCATCAGAACTAATCGCTTCTTCGGATTTGCTGGTTCTGATTAACATCACACATCATCCATTCACCGTCTCATCCACTTTAGTTACACTGTACATTTAGTGTTTAAAGTCAGTCTAGTTTTATTTGTTAGTAATAAAATTATTAACGTTTAAACTTGACTCTCTTCTGTTGTCTCTGAGTGAATATGAAGCGGTTATCTAATCCCTGCAATAAAAAGTTCCAATCTTCTGGTTTAAATAACCTCACAGATCCGTAAGGTGGATTTCATATTTTCTATGGAATCCTACGCCTTATGGCTTATTAAATAACATGTAATTTCAATCATTACAACAACTACTGACTCTGTTTACTCTACAACGTTGATGTTTTATCTTCACAAATAACACAAACCTGAAGGAGTTCTGCCATGTGGTGGATGTGCTAATGCTAGCAGTTAGCTTCAACTAGTTGGGACGTTCCTTGCCATTTCCTAGACACTAAACCAACAACATCCTTCCTCGATGCAAGCCAGTAAGGATGAGTCCAAGCAACAGTGTGACGTAGATCTGCCAGGCTTTCCTAATCCTAGAGTTTCACTGTCTATCAGAAGCTAATGCAGGAGACAGGTGTAGGAGACTATTTTCACGTTCAGCCTGCATGTCAGACTCAGAGTGACTGATCATTAAAAAAAATAATTAGTAAAAATTAGTTTCTTGGTGAAGGACCTCTTTAACTCTGTCTATGCCTGCAGGTAGACGTTAAATACCACAGAGTGAGTTAGCGTTCTCTACAGATTAGTTAGGATGAAATGAGTCCAGGTGCTACAACAAATACAGACATTAAGAACAAGACGGTAGAAACCGAACATTCCCTCAGCCATGTCTTCACAAAGGGTGAAACCCACATGCTCACTAGAGTAGCTGACCTTCTCTTTGCCCACTGCAGTTTTAAATAAACGAGCCTTAGACTCAGGCCTGGAGTCTGTAACTGCTCTGGACTTCTGGCAAATTCCATATTTTATTTCTATGGCAGGATTGAGGGGGTAATCTGAGCAAATGCTGCAGTGATGAAATCCATTTTGGCCAGTAAAGAAGCCTAATGGTAAGTGGCGACTAACCACTGACTACAGGCAATTCAACAAACAGGTTCCCTTGTCTAGGTGGCCGATGGCGCGCCTGGAACAAGAACTTCCAAAAGTGAAAGACGCTAAATACTTCTCCACCCTTAACATTGCGTCTGGATTTTGGACAATTCCTGTCCATAAATCGGACCAACACAAACTAGCCTTCTCCTTTGATAACCGCCAGTACACCTTCACTCGGTGTCCTTTTGGTTATTCCAACTCGCCAGCTGAGTTCAACATCTTCTTGGACAAAGCCTGCCCCAATGCTCGAGAGCGAGGTACCCTCATCTATGTCGACGACATTCTTGTTCGTAAGCGTACCTTGGATGACCACCTGTCCGAGCTGGACCATGTCATGGGTCAGCTCGCAGCTGCAGGTGCAAAGATTTCTCTCACCAAAGGTCAGTGGTGCAGGTCACAGGTTCAGTTCGTTGGCCTCCTTGTGGGACCACAGGGAGTGAAGCCTCAACTTGGCAGAAATCAAGGTGTGGCCACCATCACACCTCCTACGAACGTCTCCGAACTTCAGAGCTTCTTAGGGGTGTGCAACTACTCGCGCCAGTTCATAGAACATTACGCTGAGAGCGCGAGACCTCTGACTAATCTACTGAGGAAGGATGTGCCTTTCGAGTGGACTGAGCAGCAGCAACAGGCCATGGAGGACCTGAAGGCTGCGTTATGCTCAGCTCTGTGCTTGGCACTCCCCGATTGTGACAAGGAGTTCCACCTTGAGGTCGGTTTCTCAGCTCATTGTTTGAGTGCCGGTCTCTACCAAGTATATGACTGTGACAGGCGTGTCATAGCCTATGCTAGTAAGCTCTTGTCCGGTCCTGAGTTGAAGTACTCTGGCTGTGAAAAAGCTTTGCTTTCCACCATGTGGGCGGTGAAACGCTTTTCTAGCTACATTGGTGGACAGAAAATCATCACTGAGACTCAGCACCAGCCAGCGACCTTCCTTAACAGTCAGCGCATCAGAGATGGTGTGGTGACCAATGCGTGAATCGCGTCATGGCTGCTGGCTCTTCAAAGCTTCGACATCGAAGTATGCTAAGCCCAGAACCGGTGTAGGCCTCTTAGCATGGGTTTGGCTGCGTGCCAACACTGCTCGGACAACGCTGTCGCGTCAGTCCCGCCATCCCCGCCAGCTAGCCCTCCTCAGACTCTTCAAAACCTCAACCATCACTACTTCAGTCTCTGTGTGGACTTGCCGACCGTGTACGTTGTACGTTGATGGCAGTTCTTTTCGACATGGTCCTACGCCTGGTGCAGGCGTAGGTGTCGTCTGGTTGAACGCTGACCAGAAGGACCCTCGATGTTACTGGTTGGGTTCTAAGATCTCACAGTTTGCAGAAGTGGCTGGGATCTTGATTGTACTACAACATGCTAGGGATGGTGGCATCCGTGAGCTGGTGATTAGCATTGACTCGGACTATGCGCGTCTCAGTTTCATTTGTCATCTACCTTTTTGGAAGGGTAACGGGTTCCAAACATCAGGACCTCTTCATGGCATGTGACGCCCTAGTGACGGCACATGACATGCACGTTTATTGGCGTAAAGTCAAAGGACATTCTCGTGCACCCGGAACTGATAAGGATCTGAACGACCTTGCAGACTCTCTTGCCAAACAGGGCGCGGCCGATGGTACTCCATGGGCCTTCAACCCCTTGTGGCTTCCTGAGGAGGTGTCTTCTCGGTCTGACCCACCCCATGTGTGTGTCGTGACTCAAGCTCAGGCCGCTAACGCGTCCACCTCCAAACCATCCGAGGTAGTGGTGTCCGTTCAACCTGTCTTTTCTGGTAACGATCTTGTTAGTCTTCAAGACTGTTTTTTCCTCCTCTGCACAAGACTAGTCTGCATGAGATAGGGTCTCAAGGTCTCATGCATTCCTTCTAACCTGCTTATTTTCAGCTCAACAGAAGAACGAAGAATGAACTCTTTTCTTTTAATTAATCAAAGAACTCAATTTTAATAAAGCTAATCCATCAAAGTGTTAGTCAATATAATAAGATGTGACCGACCTGTGAAATCAAAATATTATATAAGTTATTATTATGGTCCTATAGAAATAATAAGTACTGTGACTTTAAGTGTTCCAACAGGACTCATTTTACCTAGTGTTAAAAAGACATAACACATTCCTTTCACTGATCCAATCAGAATCTTACAGATCTGACGGAGACGTGCTTCTGACGGTGTTTGGTAATTTTCATTCGACAATAAACCATAACATCCGAGGTATAAAACTACACCACGTCAGCTTTAACGCCAGTTCAAAGCGTTCCAGAGCAAGTGACGGAGTGGCCAATCCTGACCTTGTACTCTTTAAAGAGCAAGTCACCCCCAAATCAACTATTTTTTTCTGATATACTATATAAATGTGTGTCTAATCGTGCTGCAGACACGTGAAGTCAATAGTTTTGCACTTTAGTGCATTTTAGTTAAAATTTAAATTTTCTGCCTGAAACTGTCAGTGTTGTGCCGTTGTCAGGTAAAAACTCTTCACTGCATTTGAATTTAAATCTGCCACCACTATTGGCTAAGAGGTATGCTATGATGTAAACTGGTACATTATGATGTCACAATGTCATGAGTGTGTGTATTTGTTAGTGGCTCCGCCCTCTCGGTCTGCTAGGCAACAGCATTTGTTGCATTTTTCAAACATAGTGGGAGTGAAGTAAGTTTCTTGTAGGGGTTGACTTGCTCTTTAACTGAAAAAACGACAAGCTGAAAAATCCAGTCGCTATAACAACCAGCGGCAACAACAGCTCCTTTCAGAATAAAAGCTCCACCGACCCAGGCTTGGATCTGACCAGACGCCAATAAAAGTGTTGTGTGCCAGAAGTAACTCCAGACAGGTCTGATCGGAACCAGCGGCTTTTTCTACTGGCCGCGTTCCAGAGAGGGTTCACTGGACCTCGATATTCCTGATCTACAGAGGACTTCCACCAAAGGCAAAGGTAGACCAACTTGATGGTGTCTCATGCTGTTTCTGAAACTAACCAAAGCTTAATTCAAAACAACATCCTCAGTTCCCGTCAGAACTAATCGTTTCTTCGGATTTGCTGGTTCTGATTTACATCACACCTCATCCATTTTTAGTTACACTATATATTTAGTTTTAAAGTCAGTCTAGTTTAATTTGTTAGTAATAGAATTCTTAACTTTTAAACTTGACTCTCTCTATTCTGTTGTCTCTGAGTGAATACGTAACGGTTATCTAATCTCTGCAATAAAAAGATCCAATCTTCTGGTTTAAATAACCCTTCGATCCATAAGGTGGATTCTACATTTCTATGGAATCCCACACCTTATGGCTCATTAATTAGAAAGTAATAACCTCCATTTCATTACATTTGTATGAGTGTTTTTACTTTGTAAATGCAGTGCATGCATAAAGATGCTTAGCAGTGAGTTTGGTGTTTCCACCATAACCCTACCAGTATGAAATTGCATCAGCAGAATAAAACAGTCAGTGGTAGAAAGACTGTCAGTCATGGCACTATTCACCGCAGAATCAGCGCTTTCCTGCTTTTAGCTGAATCTCCTGCAGACTGTCGGTGATTTTACAGAGAAACACTAACTGCTAGTGAACATACTGGAAAGAATTATGCAAACTGAAACTATCACAGGCAGCCAGCTGACCGTTTTGTTGTTTAAAACCTCAAAACCCACATTTCCCAACAGCCTGACATCATTTAAATGATGAAAGTTAGTGTTCTGCAGCTCCAGGTCATTACAAATGGACATTTATACCTCAGTCTGCGTTACCAGCCAACCAGTGCCTGCGCAGTGCAGTGTGCCCACATTTAAATATAATACACTCTTTTAAAGTGAAACCCAAACGTGTTCATGTAAACAAGCATCTGACTCTCAACGAGCAGCAATTTAACCCTTTCTGGTGGAAGAACTGGTGGTAACTGCACCCAAGAAAAGAATCTGACTATTTGACATGAGTAAGAAGAAGAACAACATTTATTCTTAACAAATGTTATCAACTCATTACATTATTATGAAACTTAAATGAAAGAGTGAGTGATTCTGAGGTGTCCACCCATGAGTCTTTAATTCCTTTCTCTGCATTGCAAATGTGCCAACTTGTATAACTGCACTTGAATCACAAGTGAATTCTTCCTAGTAATGGTAATAAAAGTATACATCAGCTAAAACACTTCACTAAGTTAAAAACACACAGATAGATCTGTTTAAGTGCCTCGGTCTGCTGTTAGACAGCCTCTGTTACTTTGGGACAATCACATTTCAGAGACTCCAAGTTCTTAGTCATAGGATCAAGAACGATGAATATGAGCTAAGATAAAACCCAGTAAAAGAACAGAACGTGTCTGGCTCTACCTGGTCCAATCTAGTAAAGGTGAGATTTTAAAAGTAGAAGGTTAAACCAGCTTCCACCGTAAAAAGAGGACAGGGAATAAGCAGGAAACCGAGAGGCAGTAGAGGGACGAAACTCAGTACCCCCTTAGTATAGACAGAAACATTTTTGGTACTTGTACCTACATTTTTTTTTGCCTGTACTAAACTTTAGTACTTTCCCATTAAATCATCCCTGATTATGAGCCACACAGCTCCTCTTGCAGCTGAACGTCACATACTCACACGAGGACAGCAAAGGCTTGGCTGCATTTTGTGAAAGTAAACAACAACAGAGCTAAATTTAACATATGTGAGGAGATTTGTTGATGGAAATACCAGGAGTTTCATAAAGCACCACATCATTCATTCATGCTAGCCAAAGCACACACTATAAAAGGCAGACCTGAAGCTCCGCTAGATCAGCAACGCATCAGGCTCTTTTTCTGGAGATAAATAGACAAGACTCGTGTTTCCAGTGTACTCAGATCTTTAACTCTCGTTTCAACTCTTATTTTAGATTGATCTATTTGAGAACTAAACACTTTTTATTTAAGGGAGGAGATATTTCATTTTTTGCACCAAAGAACAGATGGTTTTATTTTATACCATTTACTTTGTTTTGCACTTACCTTTTTCATATAAATATTTAAACGATGTCTTATTCTTCCTCTAAAAAGAAAGATGTTAATTTAATTAGTTTACCATTGACACTGAAAGTTTACGGTGTTATTGCTCAGCTTAATTTAAAAAGTCTCTCCTAAATTAGACTCAAAAATAAGAAAAAAGCACTGTTTAGGTACAGTTACCTGAAAGCAGGTATTAAAAAAGCACTGGTCTAAAAAATCTAGTAGTAGTCGTAGTGGGATGTAATCTGGTCCCAGTAATTATTCAAGCCCCGCCCTGTCCATATAAATAAATGTGACACTGTCCCGATAAAAGAATAAAAATACAACTCCTTTCATTTCTGCCAGCTGTTGATGCTTTGATTCACATAGCTCTCACCTTGCTGCTGCACATAAAGATATTAAGGTATAGGTATGAATGTTTCTGACATGTTTTGTTGTAATTAGTTAAATGAAGCAAAGATAGAGGGTGGTGAAGTGGATGGGACTCAGAGATTGGCTCCAAACAGTCTTGTAAGCAGGTTGAACCATCAATGATTGTCATGGTCCGTGGTGTAACCCTGTTCTCTCCTCGGAGTATTGTTTCACAGCTGGGCGTGTCTGAGAGCTCCCAGCTGCTGCTGATCTCACCAGCAAGGCCCAGGGGATTTGAGGAGCAGTGTGACACTTCACCACGCCGGATGATTACTCTGTTTGGGTAGCTCTAGCCTCCAACCTGATTCTGACATTTGCATCCTGTTCATGTTAATCTGTCGCCTGAAGTTCCTGAATGCCCTTCCCTGCTCTCCTCCAGGTTCATCTTCATCCCTCATCCTCTCCAGAACAACCCAGGATCTCTGCATTCCTGACCACACTGCTTCATCCCCTGGCCGCCCGCTCTCAGCCGCTCACCTGCCATCAGCCATCCCTGCTCCTCCTTCTCTGGATAAACCAATTCCCTCATCTCCTGGATCTCCTCAGCTCACCCGGACCTGACCTACCCCTCCCTGTACATTTCACCACTACCAAGAAACGTAAGCCCAGCCTCCAGATAAGTCTCCATTGCTTCCACCTTATGTTCACTCTGTGTCCCTCCTCAGAATCCCCTCCTGGTATCCTGCTGCCAGTCCTGCACGTCGTCGGT